GTCGTTTTAATGCACCGCATTAAAACGGCGTTCTAATGACACGTTACAATATTTGGCAAATAAAGACATGGAAAGTTTAGTAATTAAAAAGAAATTATATATTTGGCCCTTGTTAAGAAAAAAAAATTAAAAATCAAAGCCAATATTACCAATATTGGCATCCCTGTTTTTAAGCAATGACCCTTATCGCAAAGAAGAGGCTTTGGCGGAGTTTTTGAATGAAATTGTTTTAGACAACACGTATCAAGAAAAGCGGGTCCAATTCGAAAACAATAGGTATTGTTTTCTGTTGTAAAGTTGGCCATATTTGGTCATTTTTGAAATGACTTAAACAATGGTCTCTTTACACATGCAAAATTCCGAGGACTACCGAGGCGGCAAATTTGAAACTTCGGCGAGTGTCAAGGAGTGAACAATATTCCTCGGGGGGAGGATAAGGGTTACATTTGCCTCAAAGCAAAACTCACTTAGAGGGAGGGGGACAAAAATACTGTCGTCACCGTATCGGTTCGGTTACACAACTGCAAAGGCCCTTTGCGAATATTGGTCAGACTGCATTCAACGATTTTTTTTTTACAAGTTTTTAAATTCAGCTTTCAAATCTCGCGCTTCATTGATTCATTTGAATAACTAATGGACACACTCAGTGGGTTATTAAGTTCGAAGTGGTACAGTTAGCATTAAAAACTCGCGCTTCGTCGATTCATTTGAATAAATTCGCACCCGGCTACCCGGAGAAAAAAATCTTTCAAACCAGTCTCCTACAAAGTGTTTCATCAAAAAGAGCGGGACATACTGTCGCTTTTGATTTCGCTTCGCAAGGCTTCCTTGCTTTTCACAGCGTTATCAAAAAAAGCATTTAAATTCTGCTTCAGTTGTCTGATAAAGAGAATGAATAAAAAGCCTCACATCGGCGGTATTCAGCTATTGAACTAAAGCGTGCCCTGTTCGTGCCTTGTTTTATCCGCGCGCGTTCACGTTCTAATCCAACTTCTGCGTAAAGGCGTTTTCGTCATGAAAACTTGGCTCAACTTTGGAATTGTTTTATAACGCTTTTGGTAATATCTTTTTTTTTTTTCGCGTGCTTACCGGCAATGGGATATTAAAGGCCAAACAAAAACAATAGACGACAAAGTCACACATCCTGTTCAACTCTAAGTTCAGCTTTCAAATCTCGCGCTTCATTGATTTATTTGAATAACTAATACACGCACTCAGTGCGTTGTTAAGTTCAAAGTGGTAAACTCAGCATTCAAAAATGGCGCTTAGTCAATTCATTTCAATGAATTCGCACACGGCTACCCGGGGAAAAAGATCTTTCATTTAAGATTCTACAAAGTGTTTCATCGAAAAGTGCGGGGCATATTGTCGCTTTTGATTTCGCTTCGCATGGCTTCCTTGCTTCTCACAGCGTCATAAAAAAGCATTTAAGTTCTGTGCTTCAGTTATCTGACAAAGAGATGAATAAAAAGTCTCACATCCCATTCAGCTATTGAACTAAAGTGTGCCGTGTTGGACCTGTTGGTGCCTTGTTTTATCCGCGCTCGTGCAAATGTTTTTTTCTGTTTTTATCTGTTGTCGAACTCGCCTGTCCATTTCTTTTATAGAGAGCAATTTAACGAGAGTTCAATGCCTTCGCCAATACTAACAACAATAAGCGAACAACAATAATCTGAAAAATCTCACCTTCGTAAAGTTCCGTCGACAGGCTAACAAATTAAAGCATTTCGTTCTTAACGTTTCGGAATGCTCGTAAAAGTACTACTGAAGACTAAAATCTTTTTTCTTTTCTTTTCTTTTCTCGGGAGAATGAAGTTGCGCAAACAAAAAAGTCGTATAAATTTTCAGAAGGAAAAGTTTGCGGATTACAAAGATCGTGAAAACGTATTCTGGGCCGCTTGGGTGAGAATAAGAACGAAAGTCGTTCAATCTTAGGAAACGGTATGGATTACATTCAAAGATCGCACCTTTGAATGTAGGACGCGCAAATAATAAGCTTGTTTTAATAACTGTTTAAGAACGTTCTCTGTAAAGTATTTCTGAAATTATATTTTTTTGTTCAGAGCACTCAATATAAAAGCATGATCCAAAAAACGTCTCTCCTCCCCCCTAGTATTACAAATTTGTCACGCCGAAGATTAAACGATCATGCAAAGACTGTTCGGTCTGTTTTCGGTAGCATCACCTAGGACAAAAGGCTATTGTTTTGATGAATTGGACCCGGTACAATAGACCATTTCTTGATACGAATTAATTTGTGTAACAAATTTCTCTCTTTTCTCAGACTTCTTAAAAAGAATTAGCGATAGTAAATGATACATATAGTACTTAAGGAGGACCCATGTTTAAGATTGGCGTGAAAATAGCTGGTTGGGATTCTGCTGTAAGGGATAATTTAATACGAGCTCTCTTAAAATAATGACCGAGCGCGTAGCGTAGAGTTCTTTTTACGATGTCCAAGGAGCAAAAGCATTATTCCATTTAATGCACCTTCTCATCACTTTAGAACCAGCAGTTTATTATTGTCTTCACTGAAGTATCACACTAGGATGATGACCTACAATTCCACTTCAGTAACCTGCTCTTCTATCTATTGAAAATAATAACCCGTTCAAATAAACCGAAAGGTGTATTAAACTAACATCACCGGTGATTATTTTTCTGAAAGTAATGAAATCGATTAGACCTACCTTAGCTTTCTGTCTACAGCAGTATTTCTGCTTCAAAATATACTAAAAGTCTGAAGACTTCAAGCTAGACCGTGTTGATAGCAAATATGTAAAAGGACTTTCGCCTTTGGGGTATTTAGTGAGAAAACACAGCTGGAATCCAGCTGACAACTAGCCTGCGGGCATTAGAGGGGAAGGGAAAGGGGGAATTTGGTCGCGCGGTCTCGCGCCCCAATTCCTTTCCCCGTCCCTTTCGAACGCCTGCCACGCAGGCTAGCTGACAACAGCAAACAAGAAACATAAGCTTACAGCTACTATAAGTTTCCACTGAACCAAAATTTACTTATGAAATAAAAACCGTTTCATTGCTGTTGTATTTATATTTGAGCAATAGCCAAAAATTTAAAAATCCGCCAGTTACATTAAGACGTTTGCCCAACGGCCCCTTACATAGCTTTTCTGAGTGACAGTTAAAATTCAACGGCGAAATTGATCATTTATTGCGATCAAAATTAATTGGACAGCGTGTTCTCGAGCGAGTAGCATTTTAATGATTTAGTAGCGGTCCACAGATAGTGATAAATGTACAGACTTTTGCATGTCCATTAGGAAACATTAACGATACTATCTTCAGAAATCACAAGAAACTAGGTTGTTAATTATTATGAATCTCTCCGTCCCAAAGTCAAAAGCAAAACTGAATAGTTGTGTAAACAAATAAAATTGCAGCCAACACGGTTGGAAAAAATCGTAAGTGGTCAGTAATCCTTTTTTTTTTCATCCCTTACAATAGGTGCAGCTACTCTTCTAGCCATTTTACCCTTAGGGAAATGGCTTTTACCCACGGGAATGGAAAATTTTGACAGTGAGTGACCGATTTTCCCGAGGTGAAATTGTCTCGGGGAGCTTCGGGGAAATCTCCATGGTCACGTCAAAAAGAACAAAAAAAATTCCTTATGTCCGAGTTCCCGAGCTATGTTATATAGGTTAATAAGAACCCAGACTGGCTCAAAAAAATCACGGAAAAAATGTACCTAAAATTAGAAATCAAGTGTTGTTAACGTGCTCTGTTCATCTTGGCTGTAAGGGGAGCTCTAGGGAAAAGGCCGGGTGCAACTGCACCTTATAGTTCTCTTATTCTTGCGTTTGTAATGTATTATCGTCTAGAAAACACGCATTTTTAAGAATTCCCACCACTCTCTCGCAGAGCCTGCCACCACAAAAACTACCATGAGAAATAAAGATCACATTCAGCGTTTTTTCCATCTCTGTAACATTACGAGGGTATTTCTTCTCTAAGGTAATGACTGCGCCGAAATCGACCACATGATTTCTTTCTTTTCGCCAGTGAACTAAACGCACGCGCAGTTTAGAAAGCATTCGTCGATTCGTGAAGAAAAATAAAACAAGAGAAGATCTATACTTGGCTCTCCGTAAAAGAAACCCTCAGTATTTAGTTTTATCTGGCTATATCATGTAAAACGTCTGAGAAGGCGTTCATCATATCATGTAAATATAAATAAAAACTGTCGAATGTTTGCGGTAGAAAAGGGAACTGCTTAACGCCAGCGACATAGATTCCACATTTCAAAGACGTTTGTTGATCCAAGGGTAAGCTCAGTGTAAATCAGTCCACCTAATTCAAGCAGTTCAAAAGCATTGCCCATTCAATTTTTATTCCGGTACATAAAAAAGGACGCTGTTTTCAGGTCTTTGCATTTTATTTCATTCTAAAGAACGATCCATCCACACCGTAACAGGTTTGTGTACTTAAATGACTCCATGACTGAATTAACCCAATTATGAATTAAATTTAAATGAAGCCCTAATTTTAGAATTCTCAAAATTGAAGATTAAGCTTTCCGTTCAATTGAAGCCTTCGCCACCACTCTTCATCGAAGGCGGCTTCCTCACAGTTAGCACTTGGACCAAACTTCAGGCGAAATCTATTCTTTTCTCTTTGCTGCATTAGCTCAATAATATGTGCAAACTGGTGAAAGAATTTTTCGCAAAGGTAAAAGAAATTAGTTGAGACACTTTTCCCTAAAATTTCTTTCTGACGTTTTGTGGCCTCGACCTCTCCATCCGTTATTGTGCGGCTGTTAAAGCTACCTGTGAGAAACAACAAGCATCCCAACTTTGAATGGAGAGGAGGGGCAGGGATGGGAGTGTTTTTTGTTCTCAGAAGTACTCTATTTGATGACAGTGTCTCAACAATTTTGTTGCCGATTATAGCTACAATTGAATTAACTTATGCTTATTGATCAGCGTGATTATAGCAGACAAAATTAAATGTTCCAAAGACCATGTCCTACAGTAAAACCTAACGTTTTAAGAAACCATCAAACTCACAACGGTCTTGGCAGTGGCCTTCGACGTTCGACCAGTTACAGTGACTAGCACGCCCTCTGCGGTTCCTGGGGCGGCCAAAGGCGATGCGGAAAAATACACGTCAATGAAGGCCAGACGGTCTTTGTAGACGAGGTGTGATCTTTGATAGTGGGCGTTGAACACTGACGTACCTTCAACTGCAACATCAAACATTTCAGTAACACCAGTGTTGTAGACTAAAAACATGACTGATTCATTGGTGTGTTTGGGAACCGTGAATTCACTTCCGGAATAGATGGCCTTGACCATTACATGGCTAGGTTGTATAGTGATCTTGGAATTGCGTTCAAAGTCAAAGTTTTTCTTGGTCTTGCCCCTCAGTTGCAGCTTGAAGGGGGCCGATGGAGTAGCAAAGGTGGCCGAGAAATGTGCTCCACTTGTAGTTCCAGCTGGTCTGACAGACGCTGTGCGAAGGACGCTTCCATCTTCCTTCAGGATGTTAAGGTACAGAGATGTTGACTGTACCTTATCAGCCTCTCTTACTATCAAGACGACATGCGCATATTTTCCTGAATATAAGATGAAGAAGAAACGTTAGATCAATTTGGGTTTCTAGGAAAGAGCCTACTCCCCCTCCCCTAACCCAACATTTTGTCCTAAGTGGGAAGTAACTGTTAACGGTGAGTTAGGGGAGGGGTAGGTGGAAGTCATCAACCTAACAATGCATTTTAAGTGGGAAAAAACTCAACATTAACTTCACAAGTTTTATGATAAGAGTATCGCTTAGTTCCTATTAGGTTTATTACCGCCAATTAGAAAATGCAACGGGCCGTTTTAAAGCTCAGGAACCATCGAGAAGTTGGGCTGGACTATCGAGACGCCGGAACCATAACCACACGCTTAAAAAAGGATTTTAAGATTCAAAAGACTGATTGTAAAAAAGAGAATAATATAATGTATCGAGAGAAATTAATACCCATCAGGTTTTCTTTAGAAGAAAGGCATTGTAAGTCCTCTCTATTTCAAAGTCCATGTCATTTGCACAATAAAGATAATGACGAGTTCTTCTCTCTCAGGCACATGTTATTCTATTTATCATTTATAATTATAATGCTGATTAAAGGCTCACCAGTAAGAGGATGTGATATTGGTATAGGCGTTCCTCTTACACGGGGAATGACAAAGATAACATCGAAATCCATGTTGGTTTTGCTGGTTCCCTTGAACAGATATGTGTGTTTTCCAGTGTCAGGTGGTACAGTAAGCGTCCAAAGTCCAGGCTTTGGGTTAGCCACCTCAAATATTGTCACTTTCGACACCGTGGTCTTTCCAACAGAATTTCCCAGGGGATCTTCGAGTGTTATTTTTGGAGAGCTGTTGGCACTAGAGATCGATACAATTATTTTGTCCATTGTGTCATCTACCATCAATTTGTATTCCTTTGCAGCAACACTCCGTTTTTTCTTAATCGATCTCAGTCCAACTCCACCACTACATACACTCTCTTCAAGGAGCACTTTTGTAAACCTCTTCATCTTTGCGATCTCAGTCCTAGATTTTGGCAGCTCAAAAATCTGACCACAAGTTTTCGTGGCAAGTTCCTTGAACGGCAGGTAATCGGCTTCGTCACCACAGCCTTTAGTTAGAAAAAAATAAACTGGTACACCTAGCGTATCCATTTTGACCCTTGCTGCATCAAACAAAGCGACGTCCTTCGGTGGTGCATCTGTAAAAACGTACAGGGGTGACTTGTTTACAGGACCTTTTTTCAGGGCGTCCAGAATTCCAGTGAAGGCCATCTCCTTACAGTCTCCTCCGCCACTTGCATAAAGGGCATCAATTTGGTCAATAAATTCGTTTCCTTTTCCAACACCTTTCTTTACGGCTCTGCCACTTTCTGAGGAGTTAAAAGATAGAAACTACGTCTAACGTCTTCATCTTTGGTAATATATAAAGTTAGCCAAGTATTAGGTCGAAGCTCCCGTTAAAAAAGTTCAGCCTGCGATCAACCGAAAACTAGTAACTTGTCAGCCGAGACGCAAAAAAAAAAACATGTAACCCCGATAGGTCAATACCTGAGCCCCCATCGGTCATGTGATTCTGATTAGCGGATACCTTTTTTTAACAGCTGTCAAACGACCTCAACATGGATGTGAAATATTAGGTTGAGGTTCCCACACCAGATAAAAAGTGTGATATTTCACATTGGTTTCCCTGTGCTGGGGACGGACGGACGGACGGACGGGCGGACGTAAGGTCACGTGATTACCAAAAATTTCTCGGCTGTATAGATTACCACATTTTCTTAGTTATGGGGCTCCACTCGCGCGTGGAGCTCCGCTATGAAAGGTTTCTTTGCTTGTCATGAGAGGGTTAAATAACCAGTCTGGAGTTATATTACTGCTAATGATTTCATTTTCAGCGCAGTGAGTGGCTGTGTGAAATGGAGATTTGAGTGGCAATATGAAAATTGTGCCGTCACTGATTAGTGGTCTTAAAGTGATTCAGTAATTTATCATCAAGATTCAAGACAGTGTTCAGTTTATTAGTTTTATTTCGGAATTTATGTTGGAGGGGGACGGGATGGTCGGGTGGGGCTTGGTGCTTAGTCATGGCGGTGAGCGCGAGAAAAATTGATTGGAAATTGTAGTTGGCCGTTCGGGACAAATTTAAACACAACCGTACAGGGGAAAGCCGTAGTACTGGAATTTACATTCCTTAGATCTTATTTCCCGCCCATTAAACAGTTACTTTTTAAATGTAAACTAGCAAAAATAACTTTAAGGACACTACGTTTTAAGTTGTCTCTAATTTTGAGGAAGTTTTTGTTGACTCTTTAGTTATGGATGGAGTTTTGTGCAATTTTTTTTTAGCCAGGTGCATGGTCTTTCTTTCATAGGTGTTTGTCGACATTTACACTTATCAAACCTTGAATAGTACTTATAATTATTACAACTGAAAGATTGCTTTAAAGCAGCTGTTGGAACCCTTCCAACTGACTTGCACATCAAATACCAGAAAAGACCATAATCAAGATAGTATATGCTTTCATAACCCAACGATTACATGAGGAAGTGTTTTTAATCTGTTAAGGATACTTTCGATGACTAAGCTAGTGTATAACTTAAGAACTCACAAACCTGGGTCTCCAAAAGGCGACAAAATGTAATCCACTTCTAAATTTGGCCTCGGGATTTTGACGATGTAAGTTGCTATATCCTTGACTGCTTGAATTTCTTGATACATACTTCCCGTGTCATCCACCGCAAACATAAGTGTAGCCTTGTTGTCGTTTTGGTTGCCAATAACCTTGTCAAATTTATCTTTTCCGATGGTCGTTTTGATTGATTGCATCATTTTCTTAACTGCATTGACGCATATTGCACATCGCTTTTTACGACGCGAAGTCAGGGAAGAGTGCTTGCTTTTCTGTATGTTGATGGTAGTGTACAGCGCATGACCAAGTGCTTGGCGAAGAAATTGTCGGTTGCCATGCTGAGCGGCAAGTTTGATGATGCCTTCGATCTTTTTCACTCTGGTTGGTGTTTGGAGGTAAAGAGAACGATGGGCCTGTCCCTCGTAAACTGCTTTTTCTATTTTTTCCACGGTTGTAAGCAGGCTGTTAGACGGCGACGAAGCTGATTGAAAAAATGGAGGGGAAAAAAATAGTTACGTGATGCAAAGAAGTAAGAAAATAGTTAAAAAAATCAGTTGTTTGGTGATTGATTCATGGACTGATGAATTTAATTTGTTTCTAGTTGCCACTTCTCGTAACACTAATTCAGATAGAACAGATAGAATCAAAATAGATTGAGCTGCAAATTAATGAAAACACAATCTTATCTTTTAGTTTGAAGCAACAAGACTATCTTAACCCCTTACGTCCCAAGACTGATCAATATCATTCATACCTCATAAAGAGAAAAATTTATGAGAAATATTAAATTATAACATAGCGCGTGCTATACAAGTCCTATTGAGCCGCTATGAACAAAATCTTTATTTACGCACGCCCGTGCGTAAATAACATGACGTAAGCATTTTTTTTTTAAACCTGGCTGCAAAGTTGTTGTCTTTTAAGCTGCAGTGCACTTTTCCTTCTCTTTAAAATATGGAAGAAACCAGTGAAATACTGCCCAATTTTTCTATCGGCATTGACCTTTTAGATCCTGATCCAACAAGCAGCAAAAATAAAGCCGAATTAAAAAAAACTCGCAAGTTGCGCGTTTCGCCAATTTGTCGAAGACAAGCTGCAGCAAATTTTGGCTGAAAGACATTCACTGGGAACAGAACAGACACCAACTGGTCATCAACAACATTTAAAGGCAAAATCTCCGTTTTTATTGTTGTTTTTAAATTTGTTATGCACTTTGTTATCTCCCGGGACAATCCGACTTAAGCAGGAAAATTTATCTCGCAATAACAACACAAATTACACAAGAAGACATAAATTTACTAGTCACAAAAACAACTGCTGCCAGGTCTTCTCAAGAAGCCGTAATGACCAGCCAATGTTCGTAAATGAATATAAGTTTAAAGAAGGATAACAGTCGTCTTCGCTAAAAACATGTTTTCTGGATTTCGCCGAGCAAAACGTAAACATCTTTTCAGCAAATCCAAACCATACTCCACGACTTCTTACGAACATGTTAGTATTTTAACTTAAGGTGAACTTTAAGACTCTTTTACCTTTGTTTCTGCTTAGTTTCCATTGATCGTTAACGAATAAAGAAGCAAATTTTCTTTCTCACTTTTACAAAAAGAATATTTTCATTCAAACTAGAGGATTGTGGCGTGTTCGCAATCAGCCAATAGAACCGTTTGTTATTGTGTCGCGCGTTACGAGAATTTTGTAGTTAATCAAAAAGCAAGCATTTTTGTCAGCTATGTTATAAAAGAATTTGCTCATGCTTTTAGCTGTGCGTATATCGAGTTATGGATGCACTTGGGAAGTTTGGAGAGCACTCAAGAAGCTAGAGTTGCACTCGGCTATCGCCTCGTGCAACTCTTACGCATCTTTCGTGCTCTCCAAACTTCCCGCGTGCATCCATAACTCGATATACGCACGCTAAGCATGAACAAATTCTTAAATAACCAATAAACAGAAAATGCTTTGATCTTTTATCAAATTCTCTCAACTTATTCTTTAAAGAAATTTATTGATAGCAGTATGGGAAATTTGCACGTGGATATTGGAACTGAGACGGTCTTGAGGCTTTGCAAATGCTTGTCTACCAATAAGATAAGGCAAAGGTGAATTTAAGTTACTCGCATTATTTCCGTCATCGATCTTGTTTTGTTACTAACTTCTGAATGTTAGCCTGTTAACAGGCTCTCTGTTTGGGGAAAAAAAGTAGCGAGGAAAGGAAAGGGAAAGTGAGTTCCCCGCTCGACCAAAGGCCTGTTCACAGGCTATCTGAATGTAGGACCTACATTTTTTATCTGACAATCATTGTGCAACTTATTAAACAATTCATTTCTTATTGTAACTTTTATTCCACCAATTGAAGAAGATAGTTGTTTGCGCATTTTAAATAATTTAGCCTTATTCGTGCTTCGTTAATGCGTCATCCATAATTTTCCAAGTTTGTTTTTTGCAATCTATCTTTATCTCCACTATCTAAGACTACCTTTTGAATTTTGGGCGGATTGCTTTTTTTCAGGTCGAATTATTTAACGCACAATTTGGAGGTTTTCTTCAATTATTTCAAGTTAATTTTGTACTTTACAAAAAATGACCTTGATATGATAAAAGAGCAGTTCTTCAAAGGAAGTATAATAATAATAATAATAATAATAATAATAATAATAATAATAAAACCCCCGACTACAATTACAGTTGTGTTCTCGTAGCGTACTCTGTGCACGCCAGTATCCAACACCCACCTGCCGTTTCTGCGAAATAAGACAGCAACCCCTTCCTAGTGTCAACCATAGAGTCCACATGATATTGGTAATTGGGTAATTGAGAGTTACTCTGATGGAACAAAAGTATAACCAAAAACAAAAAATTTGGTGTGAAATTGCAAACAAACGACTTTTTCTGTACCTCGGCCATTGTGTAGTAGCAGGAGTTCTCTGCTGTATGATGTCCTTTAGTTTTCTCCTTGCCTTTTATAACCCCGCGTAATTGCACACACTTCCTTGTTATGCGCGCCTCAGAGCACCCAGCAGATGAAAATGTCTTCCTTTCTAGCTTCTGGTCTAACTGATACGCTTGCATGTGATTTCTTCCCGTCGTCAGCTGTTGGTCCATTTGGGAGTTTGCATTTTTATACAAAATTTCGAAAACTTCCGCGTTGTTTTTGTTGTTATTTTGTAGTAGGCAACAGGGGTGGGGTAGGGGCTGGGTAACTGCATGCCATATTCAGGTCCCCCCCCCTTCCCGCTCCCAAAGTGAATAATATCCCTTTAATTTGAGAATACAATGTAAGTACTTATCGGGTCGTATTTCCATCTACCAACTTGCCACTCTCAACGATTCAGTCGCTTGTTTAATCTTCCTACGAAGCACCACTCTTTTGTAGACCGTAAAATTGAAACTCTCTCATTTCAAAGTTCTTAAACATTTTTTGGCAAGAAGAAACAGAACCTGAGAAGAGAAAACAGCGTGTTTCCTTTTGTAAGTGTGTCCCTCTTAATTAAACAAAATCAGTGTGTCGCAGATTATCTACAATCAGCCAGTACCCTAGCTAAATCGTACTCAAAGATCGGAAAAGATAAACCTCTGTCCAACCACAAGTCCAAACATTAGCCCTTGAGGAACACCCTTCTCGCTCACCTCCTGACTGTGATCTCGACAAAAGTTTAGAGCCCTGTCGAGCACTGAGCAACACTCTCCCCTCCTTCACCTCCCTCCCTTTCCTTTCCAACCACGATCACTTCAAGCCTTTTCAATCAAAGATCGAGACATATCATCAAAGAACTATCATAACAAATCATTATTCCAGTAGCTTTATTTTGCTGACAAACTGTGTAGTACAACTTTCCGTTGTATGAGATATTTTTAATTAGTCATTCAAACTCTAGCCTATAATGTCACATTTCATTTAATTCAGATTTTTCCAGGAATACAGGACTAGTCAGGAAACTCAAACCAAGCCTTCTCTGCGTTTCAATTTCAACGGATGTAAACAGTAACAGTAGTAGCAGTAATGATTGCTGAAACTGTGTAACTCGATCATTTTTGTCCTAGAGCTTTCTTGAGAGGAGACTAAGCGAGTAGTTTACTCCACGTCGAGAGACACAATACATGGATGCTTCCTCGAGGTTCACTATTGCGGTACTCTAACATGTAACGAACTTAACAGCTTACACCGTATTTGAACTGTGAAAACTAATACATAGCACGACTGGTCAGGATAGCATCAGCCACGGTACTTACATGTAACCACTTGCAATTCACCCTGCCTTAAGCGCTGTATTTAGTTCATGCCAGAGAGTGTACAAAATTGATTTTTCTTTAGAGAGCTTTCCATTTAGGTAGCAACTCACAATTTCGGCAAATAGGTGGTTAGCACTCCCTCAGCACTGAAATGCAAAGTATGGTCTAAAATTTAGCCCAAATATTACCAGAAGAACCGATAGAGGGAGGCAAATAAATTGTCCTCCTAAACGTTTATAAAACAAAAGCCGGCACTGTGCCCTATCAACGAAGATCTCTTTCATAGAGCTGCTTGGAAACATCTCCGACCAATCACACTAGTTCCAAATACTTACGTCAATCATTGCTGACAGACAAACCTGAAAGATGCTGAGTCTACGCCTATTTTGACGGACAAAATTTGAGAAAACAGCATCGTGGTCTGTTTCATGCGCTCAAAGGTTGCATCGAATTCAATTTAAGTGATGTTGGTCTCAGTGAAAGATCGGACTTAAGAGTTAACCCTTTCCAGGGTGGACTAATTAGCCCCCTACCCTCCCCCTAACCGTTATCATGATGACAATCTAAGTTTCTGAGGAGAAAAAAACTACAAAAAAAGATGTTAGCATTACTTTGCTCACAGCAGGTTCCGCGATCATCCTTATATACGATATTTCAGCAACGTAGTCTCGCTTCTTTTTCCAACTATTTTCCTAAATTTATGATGTTACAGTAGCCTAGGAACATAGGCTTGCATGCCTCGATGACCCCGTTTCAGCTTGAACGGATGTTTACTAGTTAGGCGGGCTCAATTAAATTCAGGGCTTCTGACAGGTCGCGGAAGGAAAAGTCAAATTTCTTGGGATTTTTAGGGACAAATTCGCGGAAAAATCGGCCGATTTCACGGTAATTTCGCGGGAGTTTTCGGGGCAAACTTCACCAAAAAGCAATCGGTAAAAAACGGCCGATTTTGTGGTTATTTTCGAGGCAAACTTCGCTAGAAATCAATCGGTTTTGCACTGATCAGACCAGCTTTTTTAACGTCTTTCTAACAGAGGTCATCATTTGCTCTTTAGACAAAAATACGCTCCAGAAATGAACCAATGGCAAAGCCTTTAACATCATGGCTAGTGCCCAGTTTTTCGCAACATAATCTACGCCTGGTAGTTTCGAGATGTTGTTTGCACGTTTCAGAGACAAAGTTCTGAGATAAATTTGCAAGTTTTACAGCAAGTAAATAGCCCCAATAGCTGAAAGAAGTTCCAAATATGTTGTACAGACATGTATTTGATAAGATTTCTACCGAATTTCGCGGTACTTTTCTGTGTTTTTGTGAATTTTGCGGGATTTCGCGGATTTACCTGTCGAATTTCGAGGTACCACGACGGCGCGAAATATCAGAAGCCTTGATTAATGGCCTATTTATGACCGTAAGACCCCAACTCTGGAGTACAAAATCCAAATAATGCACTTCCGTGAAGAAAAAAATACCAGTGAGCAATATCTACTACGCAGCTCGTACTACAAATCCTTTTCAAAGATGATAAAAGCAACTTAACTTCTGTTCAACCACAATAAAGCCATAAACGTGTGTACCGGCTACTATCCACTCTGTTGGCAGTTATCAAATCGCTCTTTCTCTGTACACAGATAGCCATGGTAATGGTAGTACCCCTCTGTTTTTAAGGGGTCTAGACAGACGGTTTTTTCCGCTCAAAGTTTACTTAAAAATATTGGTTTTGATAGCTAGGCAATAGGTTTACAGAACAATAGATTTATTGGAATCAAAACGTAACATTAACTTACGTTTGAGGAACATCCTTCTCGCCCACCCCATGACTATTATCTCGGTAACAGCTAGTTTAGCCCTGTCGATTACCGAGCAACACCCTCCCCTCCCACGCTCCCCCCCCCGCCCAACTGTTAAACTTAAGTCTTTTCAATCGGTGACATAGGATAAAAAAATCATGATTCAAATCATTATTCCGGTAGCTTTATTTTGCTCAAACTACATAGCACAACTTTTTTTTTTTTTAATAAGGTATTTTAGTGATTCAAATTCTCTCCTATAATTACTTATTTCTTTGAATCCACGTTTTTCCAAGAATACAATCGGGAAGCTCAATGAACCCTTTACTTCCTTTCAAATTCAACGAATGTTTGGTATTTACCTGCTTGCTGAAAGCATATTAAGCCTTCATTCCAGTGATTTTTGCCACGAAGCCAGCTACCTTTTCCGAGAAAAACTTCCTTCCCAGCTGATACCTCACTTTTGACAGCTAGTAGTCAACAAACAGCACCAATGGAATCAAAATCATGTCTTACTTTGCATAAACACTACTATACAATAGCTGCATGAAACTGAAACAGCAGTAGTAGTTACATACAATAGCTGAAACTGTTTAATTTGAAATTATTTTAGTACTAATACTCTCTTGAGAGAGTATTTTACTCCACATGGAGTTATTCCTCCTCTGTACAGGTGTGCTTCCTCACGTTTTACTTTCGTACTTGAACAGGGGCCTCCCCCGTCCTTGCAGATGTAACAAATTCAATGACTTACGCGGTATTCGAACTGTCACAACTAGAAGGTAAAACATTAAACGACTGGTTTTAGCATTATCCACAATTTCTAATTGTTCGAGACTCTTTTTTTACTTGTTTCATACTATATAATTTATGATCACTAATATCCTCCTAAAAGTTTCTAAGACAGAAGCCGCTGGTCATCCTATCAACACAAGCATCCCGTCTACGGCAAACAGATCGGCTTGGAAACATTTTTGACTAACCTTTGCTGACAGACCAACCTGAACGCTTCCCTGACTCTTCCCTTATTGCAAGGGACAAATTCTGAGGGAATCGCAATGAGGTCTTTTTCATGTGCTCAAAGGTTACCTCATATTGAATTCAAATGATTTTGGTTTTAGTGAATGATAGGCTTTAAGAAGACTGCAAAATTCGCCCGTTTCAGTGTTGACAAATTAGCCCCTACCCTCCCCCTCATGATCACAAAGGTTGACTTACTGAGGAGTAAGAAAAAAAAACTGTAAAATCAAAGTGTTGGTGGCATGCATTACTTTGCTCATACTAGGTTCCGCAACGATATTTCAGGGACACAGGCTTACTCCATTTTGAACTATTTGCCTAAATTCATAATGTTGCAGGAGTTTAGTTTAGGAACAAAGCCTCGCATGTGTCGCTGACCCCGTTTCAGCTTGAACGGATGTTTACTTATTACATACTGGTGAATAACTTAGTAAGCTGTCAGTTTGTAATGTTTTTTTTAACCTATCCACATTTTGTACGCGAAAATTTCGTTCCAGCTGAAACGTATCTCTGTACATGGGGACTTCGCTGTTAAGAAGCACATGAGGGGTGCTTACCATTTGAAGGAAAATTTCGGAAATCCCTGTTGGAAGGTAAATGGTAAGCTCAGTTTTCGGAAATTCCAACCGAAAATTAAGGAGTAGGTTTTGAGGTAGTCCTTTCATTCCGGTTGGTACGAAGCAAACGGAATGTTGCTTACCATTTGCCAATTTCTCGGTTCCTTGTCAGTTCCAGATTCACGCTACACAAATTCGCCCCCTTTATGGATTCAAACGGTAACGGATGTGGCACTCTGCGGTAACCTAATAAATCGCTTACCATTATGCTTTCGACACCCCAACCGGATTTTTCTGTCAAATGGTTAAGCACCCCAGTTCTCTTGAGTCCCACACACGAATCGTGAAAAAATAAAATGAAATAAAATAAAATAAATTGCGAAGAAGAAATTAGGCCACTCTTTGTTTTAATGATTACTGAGACGAGGCAGGCTCAATTAATGGCAGAGAAAACAGTTTTTTTTACATTTTTTGAGAGTCCAAAACTCAGTGACCCATATCCGTACAATCCGTCAGTTAACCCCAAATCTTAATCAAGTTTCAGAAAAGCAACTCAACTTTTGCTCTGATCTAACACAATAAAGCCAAAAACGTTTGTAACTACTATATGCTTTCTTGGCAGTTATCAAATCACTTTTTCTCTCTGCACAAATAACCATTAAGAAAATAGCACTTGGTTAGCACTCCTCTGTTTTTAAGAAGTATCATATTAGCGACGTTGCTTCAAAGATAAGCAGAAACATTGGAATCATTGCTAGACTAAGGAATTTTATGCCATTCTCAACACTTGAACACGTTTACCGGTCACTTATGTATCCATATCTGTCGTATGGTCCTATTTAGAAAAAATTTTAGTGCTCCAAAAAGATTAGTTCGTCTGATGAACTTTGCCAAATTCCGAACTCATCGTACCATACTTCATTTCATCTGACATAATGCGAATTTGATCTAAGCTACACTGCAAGCTCTCCTCTGTTCTGCATGATGTCTCTTAATGATTTTGCACCGCCGGCCTAGCATGAGTGATATGTTCACCCTCTCAAGTCAAGTTCACAATTACAACACCCGATCCTCTTCGGCTGTTAATTTGTGTAGGAAATACTCTAGACTGAATCATCACAAATAAAGCTCTTTTGCTAGCGTCGGGGCTAAAATTTGGAACAGTATCCACGAGAATTTAAAAAAACTCCTAAAGCATGCTTGTAAGAAACAAATACACAATCTATTTCTACTCTATCAACCAAGACAGGATAATTATGCTGATATAGACAGCCTTATTAATGAAATTAAAAAAGGATAATCTTAATCCAATGTATTGTAACCTTTATTTTTCTACTAATTTACATCTTTATTCATTCGTATCATTATTTTTTAACCTCTTTTTCCATAATGTAAATCTCTTTAAATTTCCTTGTTAAACATCTCATCGTAAGTATGTAGAATACCCAAACTGCCTGCCTCGAATAGCTTTAGCTAAATGCAGGCAGTGTCCCAAACTTCCCTTTCTCCTCCTCTCCCTCCTCCCCTCAACTGTCAAGTTCTTTTCAATCAGTGACATAGGATCAAAAAACTCTTATTAGAATCAATAGTAGTTTTATTTTGCTCAAATTACACTAGCACAACTCTTCTTCATATTTCAGTGATTCAAATTCTCTCCTGTAGTTAATCCAGGTTTTTCCAGGAATGCAATCGGGAAGCTGAAGAAAACCTTTTCTGCTTTGCAGCTTTAACGGATGTTTGGTATTTACTTTCTGCCTTACAGCTTATTCAACTTTCATTTTAGTGATTTTTGCCCAGAAGCCAGCTACATTTTCCGAGAAATATTTCCTTCCTAGCTGATACGTCACTATTGACAGCGAGTAGTAACAAACTGTCTAATGTGTGTGCAGTTTAAGGGAATCAAAACTCAAGTCTCACTTTGCATAAACATTACAATAGCTGAAATTGAAACAGAAGTAGTAGTAACATACAATAGATGAAACTGTGTATGATTTAAAATTCTTTTGGTACTAGAGCTCTCTTTAGCTGGCTGGAGAGTGGACGAAGAGAGTAGTTTACTCTACATGGAGAAAGTCCACTGTAAAGGTGTGCTTCCTCGAGTTTTACTTTCGTACTTGAGGATGCAACACATTTAATGACGTACACGGTATTTGAACAGTATAAAGCAGAAGATACAACATTTAACGACTGGTTTTAGCATTATCCACGATTTCTAATTGTTTGAAACTCTTTTTTTAGTTGTTATATTCTATATATGATCAATTGCAATTCTAACCCTGCCCCCGCGGTTGTTCATGCGTGAAAGAGTACAAAATTGTTTTCCTTATGAAAATCTTCAGTCCACTTTTAATAATATTTCTCAATTTCGTATAGCTGGCTAGCACTACCTCAGCACTTAAAAACTGCAAACTAAGGTAAGGTTCAAATTTTAGCCAAAAATAGCTCATCAGAAGAGACCGATAGAGGGAGTACATCAGTACAGTATCCTTCTAATAGTTTCTAAGACTAGAACCGCTGGGACCCCTCTCAACACGAGAATCCCATTTTCGTAGATCTTTTCATCGATCGGCTTGGAAACATTTCTGACCAAACTTTGCTGACAGACTAACCTGAACGCTTTTAACTTTTCCCTGATAAACAAATTCTGAAGGAACAGCAACGAGGTCCATTTCATATTCTCAAAGGTTGCCTCGTATTCAATTCAAATGATCGGTTGGTTTCAGGGAATGATAGCCTGATAAGAGAACTACAAAATTCACTCATTCCAGTGTTGACAAATTAGCTCCTACCCTACCCCTCCCCCGTTATCATGATCACAAAGTTTGACTTTTCACAGCGGTCAAACGAGTAAAATTTGCAAAAGTTAAGCGAAATACTTCAAAGTTAAGGTTGCTACTTTCACTATAGAAAGTTTAGGGTATTACCAACATCCTGTTAGTTTACTAAACTTTTTAAAAGTTAAAACCGATGCTGACGTTATTATCGGCGCCATTTTCAAACATGATTCTCTTTTAGCGCGAAGCGTTTTCAGCGAAAAAAGCTCAAAATTTTGAGAAAAATGGAAAGATAGTTATGTTGACTAACTGATTTACACATCTTTGCCCATTTTTCTCTAACTGGTAAATGAAATCCCAGCAATAAAAAACAAAAATAACGATTTAGACGTTTGACCGCGGTGGTGTTTGACTTACTTAGGAGAAAAAAAAAACAGTAAAATTTAAAATGTCGGTTTTATTACTTTGCTCACACTAGGTTCCACAATCCTCCTTAACTACGATATTTCAGGGACACAGACTTACTCCATTTTGAACTATTCGCCTAAATTCATAATATTGCAGGAGTTTAGGAACAAAGACTCTCATGTCTCGATGACCCCGTTTCAGCTTGAACGGATGTTTACTAATAACTTCCTGGTTAATAACTTAGCAAGCTGTCATTTTGTGATGTTTTTTTTTTAAACTAGCCACGTTTTGTACGTGGAAATTTCTTTCCAGCTGAAACGTATCTCTGTCAAGACGTACAACCAGATAACGAAACGTGAAAAAAAAATTGAATAGAATAAAAAACCTACTATTTTCACTATGTCTTTTTATAATTACTGAGACGAGGCATGTTTTCACAGGCGCCACTGTCATAACTAATGGTTTACTGCTGACATTAAGACCCTAGTTTTGGAGTACAAAATCCGATGCGCAAAACTTTGTCTTTGGCACAAAAAAAAAGAAGAAAGGAGCTTAGCTCAATCAGCTCATGGCCAGCACCATTTACAAAGAATTCGCACATTCATAGCTACACCGTTCAGGGACCGCGGAGCATGTTTTGGATTGGAGCTCAAGGAGCGCCAAAGGCGCGAGCTTATCAAGGGGGTCCGGGGGAATGCTCCTTGGGAATATCATTAAAATTTAGAACTTCTGAAATCACCCGGAAACCCGTTTATTCCTATCAATCCTGAGAAAATGTTGTCATTTTTTTCAGTGACACCATTCTGTTAGTTGTTTGCAGAAAAATGTACATTCCACAAGGAAAACCGTCCTCTTAACACAAAGATTAGTAGTACTTTTGTAAATGCCCCACAACTCCTCGGTCCCTGCCGCTACTGCATCGGTGGATAAAACACACAGCTTATACTAAAGTTATTTTCTCCAGTTGATCCAGCATTTCTCCATTTCTTTGCCACGACATCAAAGGACTCGATGGAGTTTACTCCTCGGCCTCCTACACAGTAAATTTCGTGATTTCTAACCACTAGTCCGAAATCATTCCGAGGCTCGGCCATCTTCTCATTTAAAAGCGTCCATGACTTGGCCTTGGGGTCGTACACTTCTACAGTATCCAGGCTCCTCTCGTTGTTTCTGCCACCTATTGCGTACACAAGTCCGTCCACCGCGCAGGCTCCTAGCTGAAAACGAGCCATGCTTAGGGACTTCAAAGTGACCCACTTCTGTTGTTTTGTGTCAAAACGTTCAGTAGTTACTAAAGGTCCGTCAGGACTATGGCCTCCAATAACATACAACTTTCCGGTCAAGAAAGCCACACCTGCAAAAAGGTGTAAAAGAACTTCATCAGCACATCGTTCAATACGTTTAATTGAATTATAAACTTTTTAAGGTTCTAATTTAGCTTTTCTAGGACATAATGAGGGGCACGAGAACTGAAACCCAGCCCTAGAATGGTTTGAGGAGACTGCTGTGAAACATGAAATCGACAAATGGACAAATACCCAATTGCGTTGTGTTGAGGGAATGGAAAGGTAAAACTGAGTTTGAATTGTGGTAACGGAGGGGCGGGTCGCACGCAAGCACTGTGAGCGGAATATCAAAGTCCCCATGCACAACAACATTGAGGTTCAGTGCCCCTGAATAGTTGAAAAGAGGTTATGACATCACCGGCAGTGAATTTTCTCCGCAAAGCTGAACAGCGAAGACTAAAATAGAGTGTCCTGTGCCACTTTCCTACCACACAGCCAATGTCAGATACCTGGGCTTCTCCGTCCTGTGGTCATTTCAGGCTGATCCACCCACTCCAATGTCTCTAGATCCAGCCTGCAAACACCGTTCTCTTTGTGCCGTCCTCCTACCACATAAATACAGTCTTTTCCTGCACATATGTTGGAGCCTTGAACATCTACCCCTGGGTAAAGTCAAATCAATTTTTTACGAGGAAAAATCGTTAGTTTGCGAAGACCGACTTGTCTGTAAGAAGTACGATCGCATTACACGAGACCTGTACTAAGACATGCACAACTTAAGAAACTGACACGCTTTTTTACATAAAATCGACATGCTATATAATCTTAGACCCCCTAACTGCTCAGGCCTGTTGACGGATAATTACTTTTACTGGATCCGAGACCGATTTTAATTCACCCAATCATTCGTGTCGGTTGAGCTTTTGGAATCAGTCTCGATTTCTTTAAAACGGAATAACAAATTAGTACGGGGATTGCCTCAGTGACGTAGACATTAACAACAAAACAGGAAAGAGAAAAGCCACTTAAGGTTTCATGGCTTGCCGTACTCTAGTAATCACAGTATAAGAGGCTTCTTTCGAGAAAATAGGAGAGCCTGATCCTGTAATTAATAACTTTACCATCACCTTACAAAAAATAGAATACTGAATTATCCTCTCACCTAATAAGGCTTTTCAAACAAATAATTCAAATGTAACACTACAAGTTTTAGAATCTCAACTGGTAGGAGGCGAACCAGTTGGCTATTTACAAGCGTGGCCGAGGATATGAATTTGGAACTAACGGAACAAATCCAGCTGGCGGTCAGGACGGGACTTGAACGCGGGGCTCCGGATTACAAGTCCAGCGCTCTAACCGCTCGCCTCTTTCTCGCTTTTGCAAAAAAAAAAACAACAACAAAAAAAAAACAAAAAAACAAAAACACGCTCAAAAAACAGAAAAAACAAAACATAATACAAAAAACAAAAGCAGAAAAAAAGAAAATAAGTTAACCAATTTTTTCACACAATTCAAAGGGAAACTAAAACTAATTAGCGGAGAGACCACAGGGCGTTGGTAATATACAAGCGTCAGTTGTGTGATTACGTTCTAATTTAGAGCTAAAGGTTATACCATATGACATTGTGCGCTTTCTTCTGATTTTCTCCGGTTGTTCTGAGAGATTTTTTTTTTGGATGCAGGGTTATCAGCTCTTAAAACTATCAAGTGTCACGCCCTCTTTAAATAACATCAGTCAAGTTGGTTTGGTTTGTAAGGTTAAACATCGCCGGTCAACTATTTAACAATTGTTCCCCGAGCGCTTGTTGGATATGAGGTGGTGGATCGCCAACGAGGCGCGTTACCCCGAGTTGGCTATAATCATCTCATATCCAACAAGCGCGAGTGGAATAATTGTTTTACTAAAAACGCCCACAAAATATCGAGGATTCTTCTCGACTTTACTTGTACAAACCACCGATTTTCAGCTTGTTTTTAATTGTGAGCAGACGCCTTCGGTTACTATACGACTTTTAGTAAAATCCAACTAGTGGTCTATTATCAATGCTGTACTCTGATTGGTTGAGCTACTACTAGGCTATATGTTATAGCCTACTAGTAGCGAAAAGCGCCGGCTTTGAAAACCAAAACGATGGCGGCTGAATCTCGTTTTGGTAGCTAAAGTTGTTTTGTCTCGATATTTTTGACCAACTAGTTGGATTTTACTAAAACAATTATTCCTCTCGCCCTCTTGGCCTCCGAGTCAATAGCCCATGAGGGCGAAGGCCAAATGGGCTATTGACTAAGAGCCCATTCGCTCTCGAGGAATAATTGTTAAATATACCATGATGGCTAAGCCAACCACAGCTGTAAAACTGCATTACCCAATGATTCAGTTTTTAATAATAGTGGTTAGTTCATACCTTCTGCCACACGTGTCCAGCAAAGCTCTAGAACGTTAAACTTTTCAACTTTGGTGGAGGACACACAGTAAAGATCTTGACCAACTACCAGTGCACAGCGATTCTCACTTAAGCTTTCCCCATGCTCCACTGGTGACATTTCATCACACCTTACACATGCACTCTTCACTGTATCATATCGCTCGACCAGACTGGTCCTGTTACTGATTACATACAAGACGTCTTCGGGTTTCCTCGCAAAGTCGGTTTTCGACACAAGACCATTCTCTCCTTCCGTTTGCTGTTCCAACGCCTTTCTTACTTGTTCTACACAAATTCCATACTTTTCACAAAGATTTGGGACGATTTCTTTAGTGAGATATTTTGAGGGAATTTGGTGAAAACGGACTTCCTTAAAAACACTCTCAGCATTGCTTGTCCTGATGAAAAACAATGAAGAGAAGAAATTTGATTAACGTACGATTGTGCCTTCGACTTTCATTTACAATTCGACTTTCCACTTACAGTTTATCATAATATATGACGCCGTGACGAGATGACTACAACGTAGATGTTGTGGTTCAATTTTATCCTCGGTTTAAATTTTAATTTCCTTTGTTTTGGGGTATGGTTATATATGATAATAAGTTTGAAACAAAGGAAAATAAAATTTAAACCAAGTATAAAATTGAACCACAACATAGATATAGCCGTCATCTTTTTTCCGTTATCTTTCGCAGATACAGGTTACAATCAATGGAGGGATGAGTATAAAATCTAATAACAGGAAATTAACAGTGCCTACCTTACGTTTACGTCCTGTCTAAACCATCTATAAATTGCTTCGTACACGGTCTCCTCACGTTTAACTCTTAGATTTTCGCTTTTGATAACTTCAATGAGATGTTCAGCGGACATCTCCATAAAATCAGGCTCTTTCAACAGGTTCTTGAAATTCCAATCCACAAAGCGGCCGATTTTTATCTTGAGGTCGGTTAGTTGCAGCTTATGAGCCAAACGTTGAAACTTTAGACAGTTTGATACACAGAGATTTTCCACAATGAACTCCTGAATCTCTTCAACGATTTTGTTTACCTAGGATATGAGGAAAAAAAAAAAGTATTTACTGACAAAGGACATATGGCTGGGTTTTTCTTACTGTGATTCAGAAAGTTTCGCGTTTTACTTTACTTTCACTGTGACATTGTTCATTTAATTTATTCCTACAAAGTTTACTTGATTTGATCTTTTCACTTCGTGGTCTGCGAGAAATGGTATGTTTCCCTCTCTTGGGCCATTTTAAAGGACTTCACAGAGTTATTCAAACTTTAAACACTATTTGATATTTCATCATATCTTCTTTCTATTGAAGCTTATCTCGATATACTTATTTCGCTATTTTAGACCAAAAAAGAGGTTTAAAACTAACCCTGGATAAAAAGGACAATTAAAGGGGAGGGGCGATTCTTTTAAATCATTTTCTATTGTAAGCAAAGATGATTTTAACATTTTTGAGGTGACAAACGAGTCAATTAGCAATTAAATAACACACCATTTTGTATTACGGTACCATACGTATATTTCGAAATATAAACATTTTGAGATATTGGGGCTGTATTTTAGCAAGAGAAAAAATTAAGCCGACTAGACCGACTCATTTTCTATAGTAGCAACTAAAGCCTTATCTGAAACGAATAACATTTATCAGAAACGAGATTCTCACAGGTAAGCCACGAGGCCGCTTAAATAGGAGCACGTCCATTTCAGAAATGAGCTGTAAACTGGCTGCAAATATAAAGTAAAATTGAAGAATAAATGATTGTGGAAAGGAAAGCTCTTGATTAAAATGACAAGGATATTCTCTACGGCTTAGGACTTAAATTAAAGCATCATCAATATATCATCTTTTGTCTGATGTACGTAGTGATAAATGCTTAAACACAAAGGAGTCAGTATGTTGCTAGCTTTTGACACTTCAAGTGCTAAAAGCCCAGTAAACTCAAAAATAGCAAAATATGCTTAAAATTCAGATAACCCCTCGCCACGTATACCAACAGAAAAATAAACGCTTTTTCCAACCAAAAGGAAAAACTAGTAAACGATATTAAAAAAAGGCACTACCACTGTCTAATTATCTCCGCGATATGATAAATGTGGGTACTACTTTTCACCCGTTAATTGGCGTCTAAACATGATTTACGATTTTTTTTAACTGAATGGTATCTGAGAAGATATGCTCTTTTTTGATTTCTTGTTATTGCGCTGTATAAAAGACACCATATTTAACGGAACCAAGGTTCAAGAGGAAGTATATTATGTCGAATTAAAAATTTCAACAATAAAACAGTTATCACAGTTCTATTACAGGGCTATTCTAACCTGCAACATGTAAGCCAGAGACAACATTTCTTCACAATCTTCCTCGTTGACTCGTAGTTTTCCGGAGTAAAAATACTCCAACATTAACCTTACTGTTTCGTTGCGAAAACTGTTCGGCAGAGATATTTCTTGGCTGCTAGATTCTGAGCTTTCCGCGCTAAAAATGCTTCGGAAATAAGGTGAATTTGCTGCGAGAATTAAACGATGCGCCGAAAATTTAACATTTCCAACTTTCAGACAAACGTCGCAAAGCTCCATATTGGTCTTCATTTCGTGAAAACGCTCGAATACGGCGACAAAATGGGACGTCTTTAGAGTGTGGTTAATATCTTTACAAGGCCGAGAAGAGCTGTTTACATTAGTGCTAGCCATTTTGTGTGATTTGTACTCAGATCTTGATTCAAGCACCGCCGAACACTGACGATAATTATAATATTTCTTTAAAACAGCGCCGAAAATTGCCTGGGTGGTCTTTCCAGGCGAGATTATATGTTTTTCTTAGTTCGATTGGAGAAAATGATGGGCAGTACCTGATATTTTTTAATGGATAGCTTATCTTTTCAGCTGTTTAATATTGACCTGCAGTTTTGAAAGAGGTTCTTGATCTATCTACGCACTACGCGGGCCGACCAATCATATCTAACGAAAGGTATATTTCAGACAGCTTTACCGCAAATAACTAATCACCTTAGACGAATCAAACTCTTTTATATATTCAACAGATAAGGTAAACAAAGCCGGCAGAAGTAAGCTTGCCATTTAATCTAACTGGGAAAAAGCATCTGTTTGCTCTGTAAAAGCGAACGATAAATAAACTGAATTGAGTTATGGTGGTCAAGAGGTTGGTTATACTTCACCTAATTTCGATCGAAACCGTAATTTAAAATTTTGTCATTGTTATTTTTGCAGTTCCGCTTGGCAATTTGTACCATTTCAATTCGTAACTCAATTAACAGCATGCAATGGTTACCTTTAGTTCCAACCGTGTTTGATTCCAAGTATAAATTCAATCCGGCTAGAATTTAATCAATGTCTTCTTTGACAGCTTGTCTCGTACACTATCGAAAAACAAACGGTAATAAATCCCAGTCCTATTTGCTTCACCGCGCTTCAAAGGCACACCGACCCTGTTAAAATTTTAATGATGCGGACTCAGATGTTCTGAGTTGTTATCGTTTTTGTTTGTGAATGTGTCTCCATTTTCACCTAACCTGGCTAGCCCTACGTTTTTTACACTGTCATTGTCGTATGATAGAATTATCTGTACTTTGTCAGCTTTTATTATGAAAGGTTGTTTTTTTACAATACGATCAGGCTCTTTAATTTCTTAGCGATACAAGAAATCTTGATCGATCTCCGCGAAACATTGCGTTTTCAAAAAGCATAAACTGGTACCAAACTGTGACCTACAGTGAAATAAAAGCAAAATAGCCACACAGTGTGCCAAGGAAAATTGCATTCAAGAGGTGTGAAGAGATCAGTGGCTCCAGCTGAGAATCACTCTGTCTAATTAATTCTTAGTCTTTTGAATATTAGACAGCGGTATCTACTCACAACTGTCAGTATTTTTGGATCTCTTTAAGCTCACTAAACACTTTTTATGCAATGAGTTAAATTATTATTATTTTTATTCTTATTGTGATGCTTTTTTATTACTATAGTACTGGATTTAATTTTAAATTAACTTATATCTTTAACATTGTCCTTATTTTATTATTTAATAGAATAATGAAATTGAAGCTTTAAATCATTGCCAGTGTCTACTCTTAATACTAAGTAATATAATGCAACTGTCGAATATTTTACTTGATTAATCATTATCTATATAATGACTTTGTATCAGTATAAGATTTTGGAACCTGTTGTAGAAAGGCCTAAATGTGAACTGGTCTTAAATGTTATAAAGTCCTAAATGTATTAACTGACCTTAAAGGTCATGAACTCTAATTGTGACAACATTCGGCCTTAAATATTATGACTTCATGCTAACGTCATTAATGACGTAAGTAACGCGTCATTAACCATACAACTGGTTATGAAAATGGCCACCTGATCTCTCGCGCCATCTGTCAAGAAAATCAGCGACGTCATCGTCAACCACATGACCAACTGATTACAACACCCAATAGGCTAATGAAAACATAAATCATGTGTCTTCTAAGGTTTGGCAAATTTACCTTCTTGTTTCCTTTACTCACAAGTTTCTTTGCGTGCAAGGACATAAAGCGAAGCAATAACACTTGTAGTGCTTTCTTCAGAAAAATTTTTGTGGACTCCTAAAAGTGACAATTGACAGAGTGAGAAATGAAAACGCGACGGCAGTAACGGAGGCGCGCGCAGATCTGAAAACGAGCTTGACCAATGGTAGAGTGGAGAATTAAGCAACGATCGAAGTCGCGTTTGGTCCTTAACGCTCTCATTTGCCGCCGAGCTATCATTTCTACATCTGTGCATTGATTTACGATGGATTCATTTGGAACAGTTCATTTTAGCAATACGTGTATTCTAAAAACGAATTGATTTTGGATTTACTAAGATGCCTTGTCTCTTTACATTTATGTTTGGTCCCTAGTTTTTTCCCATCATATGAATATTTCACTTTCATTTATTTCAGGGATTACAGCCGATGTTGCTAGAAAACAGATTCGTCTTTATGGAATTTTTGTCTGGAAAAGGTTAATATTTTATTGGAGGAATTTGCACAATTGATTTTCATCAGTTGGGGATCAGTCATACCTTTTTTGCCTCACGCCTGAGAAACTCAAATTATCTAATCCAGCTGGAATAAAATTACCTGGTAACGTATTAATGATATGCAAACACAAGCAAAAAAATGGCACTTTGATATTAACGAGGAACTTTATTAGATTGGTCAGTCAGTTTGGTAGTTCGAGGAAAGGATGAATATGATTCAGTCATGGCTGAAAATCTATAATTTCTTCTTGCTCTAATTCAGGATCATCATTCTCGTTTTCACTTTCTTCACTCTCATCCTCAGGTTTAGCCTCCATCACGATTTTCTCGGGCCATACTTTTCTCCCTCTTATTCTTTCCCTGAATCCCGCAATCTGCGCCAGAATTCGACCCATTCTCCCCAATGCGAGAGAACTGATAAGCCGAGGCATTTCGGGCACGTCGTCCCGGTTTCTCCAGTCATGCCAAGTATTTCGCCGTCTGGTCTGAAGCGAGTTCCAAAGGGTTTTAGGTGCATCGGGATCGTGTTCCTTTGTACTTGCGTACGATGCTACTAGCCATTCGACAACAAGGACGATAAAACTGAGTCCAACACCAACGCAGATAATTATAAACACTCCCGCCATGTCTGCCAAGCCCAGCTGTGTACCAGAATCAACACCAACATGCTCTTCTTTGCATTCTCCATGAGCGTGCAACCACTTTTGCTCTAAACTGTCTAAAAAGCCACTATGACGCAGTTCTAGGATGGCTTGACTCAGCTGTTTAGTGCAAGGGGAGTTTTTCGGCAAGCCTATTCCGTAGCCTATTTTGCCAAACAAGGTGCCAATGGTAGTGAGAGTCCCACATTCAACAGTATGCAGTGTATGTTGCAGAATAATAGAATCCCATATGAATGCGTAATTGCTTCCCTTTACTTTATCAATACCTTCATGACTGTTCTTTACTAAAGTGTGGTGGTACTTCATGTACTGCCACATAGTTACAAAACTTGGAATGGTTGAAGACTCAAAAAAAGCCTGCGGTTGACTGTTACCAACAGTACCATAGGGTATCAAGGTTTGACCAGCTAAATCTTCGATACTGTTTATTGGAGATGAAAACCTTTTAATGGTTAGAAAAGCAGCTAGATTTGCAGTATAGGTTGAAACAATAATCAAGATGGCAAACCACCAAACTGCAACTGTGATTCTGCCAGACGCTGAGACAGGGTGAAGGCTGTCTGCACTTTGCCCTACATAGTAAACAAGAGATGACCATATTGAGTTTGCCAAACGAAGTGTGTGGCGGCGCTTGAGGTTCTCTCTTGGTACTTTGTGATGGGCTATCTGCACACATCTTCCGTAAAATCCAAAAGGACTGAATGTGCTAAAGAACCAAAGTAAAACACCTATCAGAAACGTAGTAAGCGCAATCATGAGCCATAGATCTCGTTGGAATGGTTTGAAAAATGCAAAGAAATCTACGTCATCATTTATAGACTTGATTAGAACAGTCAACCCAAGATCCATAAAAGGCTGCGTAAAGTCGAGGACTTTTTGACGTTCTGAGCTGATCGTGAAAGAAGCAACTATCATCTGCGCTCGTCCTTGCAATATCTCTTTTACCATTCCGTTCCATTCCTTGGAAATTGGATCCTGGGAACCAAAGTTGCCATCCGGTACCAGATAAACATCGTAAGAAAATTTTAACTTTTCTTGTAGTTTTTCAATAAGATCGATGCAATAGCCCATCAGTGTGTATTTTCCATTGTCAGTAGGGGAGACTTTTCTAATGATGAAAGGAGCCTCTTCAATTGTAACTATTGTCAAGGTTTGATTTTCCATAGTTAAAGATGTGTCTACTGGAACAGTTGTTTTTCCAGAAGGCCAAAGTATTTCTCTTTTCTCTTCCATAACTAGCCCGTCAACATCATTCCACGTGCCTACCTTCTCGAAACCAAACGAACGCAGATTTACGATGTCAAACATCGCATTAATTGGAGATAGATTTGTATTGAAGTTTAAAGGACCCATTACACCAGAAGAATTGACATTTGAAATGTATTTTAACAAAGCCTCTCCAACTGGGCTGAAAGCGTTAAAACCACTTTCACTGTGAGCGCTAAACTGCAAACCCTCGGTATTGGTGATGTTGTATCCATCTATCAACATATGATGAATAGCCTGTGCCAGCACCAACACTGAATCAAACGTGTGACCCACTGTTGCATCGTTGTCAAGAAGGCTTGTGTCATATCCCTTGCTCTTCCACATACTGTCAAAATTACTGTGCTCTTTACCTTGTCCGAAAGAATGCCTCACACCAACAATACCTTGAAGATATTGTGGTATATGTCCTTCACTTTCAAAAAGCCCATCAAATGCAAAAGCGCCATTTGTTACTAACCAAACCCATCCGTCAGTCATGCCAAGATTGTTAGCTTGTCGTAATATCACGGAAACTTGTGCGGCTATGCAATTTAACACAACGATCCTGGCACCACGACTTCTAATGTGAAGTAGCTGTGTTGTGGCATTAACCAAGGATAGATTTTTATGCTCTTGAAAGCTCTCTACAGCTACCAATGTCCATCCCTTGTGAGAAGCAATGTCTTTCAAGACGACCAGCCCGTTCAGTCCGTAATCACTTCTGGAAGTCAACAGTGCTATGCGTGTCCAGTTGAAATGTGATATAATGTCTGCCAGTGCGCGATTTTCAGTCGCATCACTAGCACTCATGCGAACCAAATAGCGGTAGGACAGTGGAGAGAAGTCAAAAGAAGGATCTGTAGCATAAGGCGCAATCTGAGGGATGCGAAATCCAGAACACAGGGGATGACTTGCCTTCACCGAAGATGAAGTAGACGGTCCAATAATAGCCACAACACCGCTGTGAATCTGTTCATACACTGCATTTACATTAGAGAAAGAATCAGTCCAGTGGGTTTTGTTTACTACCGCATCAAGAATTGTGTTAGGCAGCAATGATGTGTCACTGTTCACGTATTCAACGCCTAGATTGAAAGCTAGAAGCTCCTTGGAATTTGGCTCATCGCAAACGACACCTCCAATCTTGACATGGTTGACCCCCGAGCAGAATAAAGGACACCAGAACAAAATGGGTAATAGAATTAGGCTTTTTTTTGGCCATTGATCTGCTTTGCTTTGCATTTCTATCCACAATCATGCAACGTGTTCTAATAGTTACGTCACAAACCTAGGTTTCAACCGATTTTTTTTTAAGCGCGCGCTTTCAACAATTAGAAAGAATAGGGCGTTTTACAAAATTCAGAACTGGAGCTCGAGCTGAACAATTGACCGGACCAGTCATTTTGACAATGATTTAGGTTTTTTCCAAGAGTATTTTTTATGTAAAACCATTTCCTTCTTGCATACTATTTAGTATTTAACTGATCTGATTGGATAGTTTTGATTAAAAGTGAAATTACGAGGGTGGCCGTACGGTTGCCGCGACGACGAGGTTGTCTGCCACTTTTTGGAAAACACTGGGACCGAATAGCGCCGGCATTGGCTTATGGGAATACACCACAGGAAGCGCAGGACTGGAGCTGGAGGACATGGCGGAAACTTACAAGCTTTGACTGTGAAGTGTACGGATTATCACATCTGTTTTGATCGCGGATCAGTGTAGAAATCATGGGAAATGGGATGAACAAGGTAGGGTTGTTATGTTTGTTGTGTACATGCAGCATTTTTCTGTCGAGGAGCGACAGATCCGTTATTCGCGGTGACAGAGTATCTCACTACTAAACTCCGAGATTTTTCCTTGATTCGCTGTCATTCTTCTCTCAGTTTTTTTTTCTGGTTTTGTGAGAAGCGCTATTACCAAGACGAAAAGCTGTATGTTCCCAGTGTGTTTAGTTCTGCTAAAGAATAATGTAGAAACGCTTCAATCTTTGATGTAAAAAGCTAAATCACCATAACTGCTCAGGTTGCATTTGTGTTCATGTTGGGAATGTTTTAATAGTTCGAGACTGTAGTTTTGTCTGTTTATTTCGAGCTACCGGGAAGCGTTAACCAACAAGAAAGGCTTGGTAACTCGTTCATTTAAGGTTTATTCATATCCAGCCATAGCCAAGTTTGCAAAATGATTAAGTTATCGATTTTTTAAAAAAAATAATATACGTCTGACGTCACCTTCAAAAATCGCTGAAGACCTTACGGAAGCAGATGTTTCGAACTGTATTTGAAAGATATCGCTGATCTGTGGAAAATTAAACTAGAAACGTCATTTCAAAATTTTTAGTCAATTGTTTTTCTTTCAAAGTCTGCATTTGAATTTTTGAAGACAGATACTTGAAAGATAGTCATAAGTACAGCTGGACTGTTTTGACAGTTTGAGTCTTCTTTTCGATACCCTTTAATTCCGAAAGGTATTACTTCTGTTGTATCATTAGAAATATTATTACCTTTATTTACACACTTATTTGTTTTTTTTTATATATTCTGAATAGGTTCTTCCAGGTCTTTACCTGGGAAATTTTCGAGGTATGTTGTAGATTGTTACAGCCAGTGGCTAAGTTACATGTACGAGAAGTCTGCCATTTCCTTTCCCTTGTTTGTCAAACAAACATGTCTCCTGGGCATTTTATGTAATGTTTTGGACATTCCCTATTGAAAATTTTTGCTTTCTTGGAAACGTTTACCATCATTACTTAAATTTTGTGCTTCTAATATAAATTTATAATTGTTTTCATACAAGCTGCTGATTGGCGCACAACTAACTTTTTCTTATTTGAGAGAGAATTTGATACAAGATCAAAGCATTTCCCCTTTACGGTCATTTTATCAATTCTCATAACCTTTTCTTTTGATTATGTTTGGAGAAAATTGATGTTGACCACTCTTGGGAGTTAAAGGTTTTGGAAGCGAAGAGCTTTTGGGTTCCCTTTTTTACTATTTTTCTTAGAGCACAGCCCTGCACCTGGACTGTTTACAGGAGAGACACTAAACAGCACCAAGAATTGAATTAAAGTTAAATCATCACTTGTTTTTTTGCTTTGTTTTAGATGCTAAAGACATGGAACAATTGAAACAGAATAAAATTACTCATGTACTTTCTATACACGATAATGCCCAACCAGTGTTAGAGGTATGTAATGTTCTACTGGGTTTTCTTATTGATGTGTGTTAGCATGTACATTTAACAATTAATGAATGAGGCTGAGTATCTTATGAAGAATTATGGAGATCGAGGAGGATGTTATCCGTCAAGGCCGTAGGCTGAGGCGGATAACACCCTCTGACATCTCCATAATTCTTCATGTGATACGAAAGCCGAATTCAATAATTGTTTTATTATTCATTCAAAATAATTCCTAGTTTAAAAATAACGCTAAAACATGCTTACCTCCATCGATGTTAAGTTTACCTTCGATGGTGCACATTTAGGGTTGTTTAGCCCCGCAAATATTCTCCAAATAGCAGATGTCGCCCTTTGAGTTGTGTTCTTGCTGTTCTTGCCATGTTTTTAGCTATAATTTTGCCTAGTTCTCACTCTTGAAATGAGTGAAATGTCCTCCATTTTTGTTTTCACAACCAAAACAACTCAACCTCGTCCCCAGGTCTTCTCAGTTGACGGTGCCTTAACCTGCCAGAATGCTGCATTTTTGACATCATTTTCTCATTAAACACAAAATTCTTAACTGGTTATGGTGAATTATGCCTGTGCTTATAGCCAATCAGAATTGGGGAAATATTTTGAATGAATAAAAATTTGTATTATTTTATTAAAAATGGCTGAATCAAGATGAGGTGATCCCTGTGTCCTGATTGGCTACTTGAGTGGTCGCGATGGGCCCATCTTGCCTTCTTAATATCTTTGGTATTGGTCTTACAAGAAAAAAAATTCTAATTCTGGCTGTGCAATAAATCCTTTATTGACTACAAGCTTGTTGGGTCTAATGACTGGATATTGGCCTGCTCTCTCTCTCTTTTTTTTATAGAACTTGACTTTGCCATAAAAATGCCAAAATGAACTCTGTGATTTTGTTGCAAATAGTTGTGGTGATTCCTGGGATTCATCTTGTGAAAAATCATGATTCTCAGTCTAGAACCATTGAGTCCCAGTTCAAAAAATGTGTCCAAAATTGAAAATGCTTCCAAAGCCCTTTATGTAACCAGACAGTTACTCTGAAGGTAGACTCCAAAACTCTGTATTACGGTATTCTGAAATTAAAATATAGTGAGTCCTTCTATTTTAAAGCACAACAAAGGCTAAATGAAAGGTACATTGTTAAACATAAGCCATAATACAGTGTAACTCAAACTGCCACAGTAAATGTGTAATTACACAAACAGAATATTTCAGATCGGTTGATCGATATTTACATCCCATGGGACGTATGCAATGAATTATTTTGCATCCTCGGGGATTTTTATGTGTCAGGGACGCAGGACATACATGTACATGTAGAGGTAACAAAATCACTATTAACTTGGCCAATATCCAGTCATCTTGACTTCATACTTGGTCTGTAATGCATATACACCTGTAAATTTGTAATTGACAAGTACATTTGCATTGTACATATTTAAGGTCTATTGTATACAATCGTACACTGTAAATACACTGAAGTTGCAAAAGAGGGTAGTGGCGGCAGTGACCTTCTAAAAGTAAGGATAAAATCTTGCAGTTGCTCCCAAAAGAAATTCCAAAAGAAGCAGTCTCATAGAATTGAGATGCTCTGAAAGAAGCAACTTCCAAGGTAATATCTCCTTTTAAATGAGAAATAAACAGAGTTATAATTGCTTTAATATGCTAGGTGTTCTTAGGTTCCTTGCTATGATTTTATTAATCTTTGATATTCTTATTCAAGGCCATTTTTATACCTGGTAGCTGTTTAAGTACAATTTGTGTTTTATTTTTTTTCAACAAGAATTGCCTTGAATCCCATTGCATGTGTGATAGGAATAATCAAACCTTTTTCACTAGTACAAAAATTACAGTTGACCAGTCGTATCCATAAACAACATGGATCTAAGTCAACCAATTACAACCTACAGACGTGACCTTTTGAACCCACTGAAGTAAGCCTGTGTTTCCTGAGATGTCCATTAGTCAGAACAGGTTTTTAATTTTAACTGAAGGTTCTTGTTAAGATATGTTCTTTTAATTTTGCTTCCACAGCATTTAAAATACAAATGCATTAATGCAGCAGACTCCCCAGACCAAGAGATGTAAGTGTTGTAATTCTCCAAAAGATGCAAAATAGATTTACAAGCCTGATGCACATTGCAATATATTGTGTTTAAGGGCTGTGCTCTAGCAGAGCCTGGTGGCTGATGGTGCCCAACTTTTGCTCTTGGGACTAGAAAATTTACTTTTTTCATATAAATCATATGCTGGGCACCCTAGATTTTACAGGTTCAGAGCACTGGGCTACCTCCAATTTTCCTTAGAGCACAGCCTTGGTGTTACACAATTTCATGTCCAGGCTGTGACTGAGAGCCTGGGATTGGAGATTTTCCCCAGCTACTGTGAGCATGAACCCTCGCTACTGTCATAGGAAAAAAAGGGAAAAACAAACAAACAAATAAAACAACAACAACAACAAAACAAACAAAAGAGCTTCCTGGCTGTTCAACTTCCTGCCTGCTAATTGCATTATAGCCAGCAACTTGAAATTTTAGTGACATCCCTGCCTATCACTTCAAACTCATACATTTGTTTGTTTTTTTTTGTCAGCAAGTTTGATAAATATTATCATTATTATTATTAGTTTGATATCATTATCATAGAATTTCAGTGTATACCATGTCAAGGATTTCACTAAGATTTCAAGTTGCCGGGTAAATACGACAAGTAGGTGGGGAATATTACAGCAAGGGATTTCTTTTGGTGCTATTTTTCTTCTGTTTTCCTATGAAAGTAGCCAAGGCCGCGTTCATAGTAGCTGAGGAAAATCCCCCCCCCCCCCCCCCCTTATATAAAGCCCTGATCCAGATTTGAGGGGGCCCATGGGGGTTTTAGAAAAAAAAGTTAACAACCAAACAAACTTTTTTTTTGAATCATTTTTTTTTCGGGACTGAATTTATTTTTTTTTAAACTTCGGTTATTTTAAATATACAACTATTTTTTTTTAATAAAATTTTCAAAGAATTGCATGTAAAACATTGTCAAGTATTCACTAAAATTTAAAGTTGCCGGGTAAATAAGCAAAGAAAGGGGGGAATTTTAAAAAAAGGGTTTTTTTTTGGGGCTTTTTTTTTTTTGTTTTCCTATGAAAAGAGCCAAGGCCGCGTTTAAAATAAGTGGGGAAAATCCCCCCCCCCCCCGCCTCTTAATGACAGCCCTGATACTGATTTGAGAGGGCTAATGGTGGTGTTAGAAAATAAAGTTAACAACCAAACAAACTTATTTTTCAGATCAGTATTCTTTCAGGAATGCATTGATTTTATTCATAACTGCAGGTAATGTAAATATCAAACCATTTTCTTTTTCAAAGTAGCTTCTTGATGAACTTTCGGTTCAGCTTTACCATGGGGCCACGTAAAGTTATGAAGAATTAACCGGGCTCCAATCCCCAATACCCGGGCTAATTCTCATAATTCGGATATTGGGAAGATGTAGGCCTTAACCCATCGATACAGTGGGTTTCTGCTAGCAGCCTCGTTTCCATAAAAGAGAGTTGTGCAGAGCTTTAGGGCATGGCTGCCTAGCTGTCTGTGCCTTTCAGAATGAACTAAAGAAAACTGGTGTTCATGGCTATCCGACAAATTACAGTAAAAACCCATGACTATGAACCAGCATTTTCCCAAGTTAGCCTAAACAGGTTCTTACATACAATGTAAATGGTAATTAGCACAAATTTAGGCTATTTAGGTTCTTAAATAGGCTCTTATTTTCTGAAGAAAAAAATACATTGCAAATAAGAGTATTTAGTGGTATTCAGCTTATTTCTTACATGTAGGTAAAACCTGTATATCATTACAGTTGCAGCTGGAATGAGAAGGGGCCTATGTCTCCAAAGAGGCAGGATCCTGAATGTTGACAATTCTTATTTGCCCAAGTGCAATTTAAAAACAGATTTTGCAAAAAAATAACCTGTTTCAAATTTTAGGCAAAATAGGTTTTGTATAGAGGGGGCCTAACTGGCAAATTTCAGCCGAACAGGTTCTTAAAAACCAGGTTCTTAGTCTCAATTTCTGACTAAAATAATGCTCGATGGATGTCCTCTGCTTTTAAAGGAGTATCCGCAAGTAAAAAAATTGTCTTCCCTGAAACCATGCCGAGAAAAAGGCAAATTTTTGAGGCAAGTCTACAAGGAGGTCCATGTATGGTTGTTTTTATAGAACGTAGAAATATTTTGAATGAATAATAAAGCAATTTATTGAATTGGTCTTCCGTATGACGTGAAGAATTTGCAGATCTCAGACGATGTTATCCACCTCGGCCTTCAGCCTCCATGGGTGATATCCTCCTCGATCTGCATACATGTAAATCTTCACAGCGTCATTCATCATTTGTTAAATACACTGTATACTCTACACTGTACCGAGAATTACAGCTGTACACGGAGGCCTTGTTTACTAGAATTATACAGTGTACAAATTATTAAAGCTATTTTACTTAACCTTTTTTTCTTATTGCAGGATTAATAATGGCGCTTGCTTAGTTCACTGGTAAGTTATTTTAGGTCATATTTTATAACAGTTTTCAATGGTCAGAAGGGGTAGCTCTAGTTTGCTACAAATTATTAAGGTAGTTGTTATGTTTATTTTGTAACTTATTACTAGTGCTTGTGTGCGTGTAATTTGAAGTGCGTAAGTTAAATAAAGTAAATTTCTTTCTTAAAGTAAAAAAAGGTAGTTCGAGGCTTATTTTGTGCAAAAGAGTAGGAGGTATTTCCTGTGTATGTCATCTTTTGTTGTGATAGCACAAAAAGGCACCGCGACCTATTTCAACTTTTCACGCGACTTATGCATGACTAGATTCATGAAAGAATTTTGCAAGGAATTTCGGCCTTAACAAAATTTCCTGTTGGTTCAAAGCATGGCAGGAATTTCGCGTTCTACCACCATTGTAGCAGCATATATCATGGCCGTCACAGAACTCAACTGGAAAGACTCCATTAAAGCCATAAAATGCTCGAGGTCAATCGCCAATCCGAACTATGGATTCCAAAGACAACTCCAGGACTTCTGGAACTTACAAGCATCCAAGGTACGGTATTTGCATGTACTCTACAGTGACTGTTTCGTTAGTGTAACAACAGGTTTTCAGTGGTTTGCATTAGAGACCTTCAGATTCGAGCCGGACGAGAATGACTACAATGACCTAATTATTTTCGCGTATTCTAAGAAAATAGTTCATTGTACCTTTTTCAACAGAGAAGCACAGCAAGGTTATTTTAGTTGAAGAAAGTTAAACCCTCTCCCGATCGCAAAATGATAAAACGTGTAACATTTGGTTACTTGTTTCCGTCCTGACTACATGTATGACATTATAATCTTAGGTCTATCAAGCCCAATTTTAGCAGCTTCCATACATTCTCTCTTACGTGGTTTCGTTTGGCCTTTAAGGCAGAATTTTATTTAAAAAACTTAACGAAAACAGAGCGTGATCTCAGGTTAATGACATTAGAGACCTTCAGATTTGAGGACGAGAACCACTAGCTACATGCAGGAGGACGAGATTCGACTTTAAGTTATTTTTAGCGGATTCTAAAAAATATACACACCGGAGAACTTCATTGTCTTTTTTTTTTTCCACCAAAAAAGTTACCACGGTTATTTTTATTGAAGGAGGCTAAGCCCTGTCCCGATCGCTTAATGATGATAGGGCTTCTGACCGTTGATAACTTGTTTCCGTCACTATGACGACTAAAACCCGTAGTAAAATGACGACGGCTACCACTTTTCCCCGCCAAAATGATGCTGATTCACCCAGCATTGAAGAAATCTCGTTCTCGTATAGTCGTCATCGTCTTATTGGCTGTTTACATGGAGGGAGGAAGATCCTAGTACCATGAAGATCCTAGAAGGCGTAACATCATTTCGTTTGGTTTACAATGTACCTGCAGAAATTTCGGTCCGTGTGGTTCTCAAGTACAGAAGGATCGAATAGGAATTAAAGTCATTAAAGATGGCGGACCGCAAAAGACAAAAAAAACAAAACAAAAAAAAGCGAGTTGAGCCCTTCTGCTATCTTTACTGGAGCTGATAACTACCTTTCAGCAGAGTTTTGACAATAATCAGCTAATGGTAATCCCAGACGAAATGGAAACGAAACGGCCTATATTACCGTGATTAGCCACTGAAAGACCCGCCCCAAGTTTTGTCTGGTTTGTCCCTAGTACTAGGATCTTCCAAGCGAAGGCAGTTTACATGGTGTTACGATCTTCCTAGTGTCAGGATCTCCCTATCTCTTGGCAAGATCCTAGAGCTAGGGACAAGTACAACCCTTTGCACGTAAACTGAATACAGAAAACATATGGCGCTAGGATGATCCGCCTTCTAGGATCTTCCCGGTGCTAGCAGGATCTTTCTCCTTCCATGTAAACAGCCCCATTAGAATCTAAAGGTCTCTAACTTTTGTGAAACCCGTACCTTAGAATGACAACGGATATCACGTTTTCCCGCCAATATGACGCTGGTCCATGCCGCGCACATCGTTGCTGTCCTCGTCTTAGAATCTAAAGCTCTCTATCATTAGTGTGTGGGTATTCTTTCAGACTATTTGCTTGAAAATACGGTGGATTATGCTGTTACGGCCGTTTCTCCTCCAAAAGCAAGGCTTGAGTTGAAATCAGAGGACCCAACGTAAAACTAATGCGTATGGGCTATTGAAAACGTTGGGAATATTAAGAACAAATAATTTTGCGTCGATACTGATAATTTGAAAAATCATGTCTTTGTGCTAGGAACGAGAAAGAATCAGAAAAGACTTTCCAGATCATGCTGATTTTAAGGATGAGGAATATCTGAAAGAACTTTTGGCAAAAAGTGAAGAAGAAGTTGTTTCGGATGAAGATTCCATTCCTAGTGCGTTAAATCGACAAAACAACAGGAGGAAATTTTATTATGTTTGTAACGAAAGTGAAACGTCGCAGGACGACGGGATTACCACGACCACGGGGTAGCTACAAAGATGGCCCTTCAGCCTTGTTACAGTATGAACATTATTTTGTTGGGACAATGCAATCAAAAAATCGTCTGTTAGTCACGATCGTTAGTTAAGTAGAGGTTCACATCATTTCAGGGAGCTCGATTGGGAGAGAAATAGAAGAAATTAGCGTTTGATCAAGGCAGCTGAAAAAGTTAATTTATCACTCAGGGGTTCCACTGCTAACCTTTTGTCAATTTCTTATCTCATATTGGGATAAGATCAAATTTCATAATTTGTCGCGATTATTCCGACTCGCCTAAATTGTTAAATAAAGGCGATTCTTTTTTCTGGAGATGAATTGTTGGGGCCTGCATCCAAGGTTACGAAAAAGGAGAAGCAATCGTCGTTGATTGTTTACGTACAATATACTGATAGCACGTCGCATTACAATCTACCCCGCCCAGAGTTGCTGGTTTTATCACGAGCTGAAAAGGAAACCTAGGTGGATTCCGAAAGCTGAGCTCTACTAAGCTCTTGAACTGCTGTTGGTGATTCGAGAATTGTTTTCTGCGTTATAAGCAGTTAAAAATTTAATTTCCTTACCCCATGCATTTTGGTAACCATCTTCATGACTGTGGCGTGTTAACTTTAAGTTCATCGATGTGACCATTCAAATGAAACCTCTCCAGTAGTACTTTCACGTGGTTCTTTTTGTTGTTGTTGTCCGTCAGTATTTCACAAAATGAAGTTTGCAGATATTTTTGAAGGTTGATGTCTGACACTCCGTGGGTGGGAGGGGAGAGGAGAGCTGAATTTGAACTGAATTTAATCCTTCCATCTCAGTTTTAAAATGTAAATTCTTTTCTCTGTACATTTATTGTACAATAGCATGAGACATTCAGTGTTATACGAAGGGAATCAATGAAATTCATCTGGCGTGGTTTAGTGCTTATTCTCGTGATCTCTCTGACGAATCAAGTACTGATGAAGAAATCAGGAAATTTCGTAATGTTCGTAAAGAAAATTTAACGCTGTATGTCGACAAAATAACCTGGACAGGGTTGAACACTTCCCGTTTAAATACTTTGAATCCTAGATAATTACAGACAAAATATAGTTCTAACTTCAAAGAGGCTATGTCACGCTATTTACTTTTTATTAACCCTTTAAGCCCCCAAGATCCACATACAGATTCTCCACACTGATCTCCATACATTTCTTTTAAGAATAGTTGAGAGAATTTGGGTGAAGATCAAAGTATTGTTCCTTTGGTAATCAATCAAGTAATTCTCTCAACCTTTACTCTTGATGATCTGCGAGTGATGTTAGGAGAAAATTGATGTTGGTCACCCTCGGGACTTAAAAAACGTGTCTGCGCATCAACTAAATTCCAAAAATAAAAGTACAGTATCGTTATTTAAAACTATATTTAGCACGCGTTGGAATAGTTTCCTGTCATCTGTTGTTACGGATGGCGATGATGGACATGGATTGAAAACTGAAAAAAATTGGGCCAATTTTTCCGTTAATTTTTTGCCGGAAAAAATGGCCAAAAACGTGGTCCGTACTCCCTATTTAAAGGGGCTGTGTCACGGCAGTCTAGTTCATTTTGTTTAATTTTGCCAATTACTCGCGCTCAATCGCTATGGAACTTAAAGTAAGCAAAGAAATTACAGGTAAATTACAAAATCAGAGATCCGAGACAAACAAATATGTCTCCTGAGCATTATTTTTGAAGTTGCAAGCAGCAGGGATCAACTTTGAAAAACTGTTAGGCTGAACAGTTTTCAAAAATCCTAATTTCAATCCGTTTCAATCTTCTTTAGTTTTGCCCATCCGTGACGTCTGTTGTTTCTGTTATGTTATATTAACCTTCCTTTAAAGTTTTAAGCGGTTATTTTCATGTTTCTCTTAATTTAACGGGCATTTTGTAAAATCCTAATTTGGCTGAATTTCGTGACACAGCTCCTTTAAATTTGTTTGAGATCTTCATAACTTTACGGGAGCTTTTTATGCACAGTTGAAGGTACTAAATAATGACTATAGCACAGAATTGACCTGAAGCAGCAATATCTTGGTGATAATCTGTTAGTTAGAAACCCATGGTACCATATTCAGACTATCCGTGCCACTGCTTTTCGTTAATGACTACCTGTCATAAGCTGCAATGTAACAACAACTATGCAAAATATCAAATTCAGTTTTTTTCCAGGTGCAATCAAGGTAAAGAGGGTGAAAAAGGGACATTAACCATTTACATGGAAAACCGGAAATTCCGGTTCGAAAATTAAAGGGGGCGTGACATAGCGTTTAAGAAGCTTTAGAAAACAGGGCGCTTTAAAAGGAACAACGACGGCGACGGCAATGAAAACGGCAAAAAAAAAAAACAACAACAACAATAAGTTCAGAGTAGCAAAACAACAACTTTCTATTAAAGGGCATCACCCTTTTTTCTACATTTCTTTGCCGTCACTTCAAGTCACTTCCCGACTACGATTGTAGAGGACGTAAACACAGGACAACGACTTTCGTTTTCTTTCCTTGGACGCCGATAGAGTCTTTTAGAATTCAATTCCAGACGAATTTGCCAGTATTTGACAAATAGAACGAGAGCGAATAAGCGTGATACAGTTAAAGCAGAGCGAATTAACTTTTCACCTTCATCATCGTCGTCATCATCTTGCGGCTATTGCGGAGATGTCCTGCACAACACGCCTCCACACATCCTTGTCCTTGTCGTGTGCCATAGCGCCGGAATCGCGGTTTCTTGGTGTCCACCTAAGTAGTAGACTGGCTATCTTCTTGTTATTAAGGGTATGTCATGCAGTTATCGTAATAAGGATGCTTTGGCGGAAAAGGGGTGTTAAAAAGGTTTGGTCAATTGTCAACGGAACATATGAGTATAAGTATTAAAGGTTAATAAGTCTGGATTTGCGCGGCTAATCCTCTATCGAATAACTTTGCCCAGGAGGGTTACGTTGGCTGATTACGCCATTCTTTAAACTTAGACTGGGCCGTCATCGGTGACGCGTTTTTAATTTTTCCGCTCTGCGGTAACTGAGGAGTTTTGTTTTTGATAATGTTGAACGGTTCATGGGTCATACATACATAGTTAAAATGCAACGGTTATAAAACCCGACAAATCCCTGTTGTTTTGGCCTTGACTGTGCGCAACGAGTAAGAGCTGTCGATCGAACCAGGTTCGTGTAACGCGGGAAAAGTTCCTAGTTAATGGATTCAGTCATATCGTGTGAATGTAAAACGAAAGACTGCGCACAGTTATGGTTCTTCCAACATTAACCACAGCACCACCTTGTTTTTCCTTTGATGTTCGCCGACTTTCATTATTTTAAATTGCGTCTGGTGTGCCCAGCTAAGTAAAGTGCAAGCAATCAATGCCACTGCCTAGCTATAATATGATTAAGTATGTTTTTACTTCTTTCTACTCTAAAACGTCAAGAATGCTTTATGCGACGTTTAAATATTATTTCGCTGTGTATGCATTTTAAATTTATTACAAGCCATGCATGGTCACACTTGGCTTCCTAAATATCACATTTCCGGAAAGGGTGGGAGAGGAGTCAACTTTTTCATATTCTTTATTTGAACACAGGGTGTGCCCCGTCCACATGAACACTTATTTCACTTTAGAAAGCGAAAATACTTATCTCAAGACAGACATATTACAATATAAATAAATAAATAAATACTAATGTGACAATTTTAACTTTACTGCAGGAGGTCGATAAGGTGAAATATTGTAAGGCCGATTTGCACACGGGAACGTTTGGCTTAGTACAGCTTATTATTACTGCTATCATATGAGCGTTGAGATACGATACTAATTCTCTGTCGTAAGACATCTTGAGCAGATCGCATAGTGCTAAGTTGCTCCTTGTGAATTAAAGGCGTGTTGGGCTCTACTCTAGTAAAGCAGGAATTAGTCATTACCCGACACATTCCTAATACGAATTTCGGGAGCATTCTGGTTGAATTTTTGTTGTAGAATCGGGGTTTTTAATAACCTGACATATCTTCAACCAGAGATTCCGTCATTAAAGTAAAATACCATAAACATGTAGCAAAGGAGAGGAAGATGGAAAGTGTTCTTTAAATGGGGTATTGCCGTTTTTGTTTGCGTCGTTTCTCAAACTGATTCGTATACTGTTACATAGGCGGATCTGAGATGTACAATGTATAGTGCGCTACTGATATAGTGTCTGAGTGAGTAGCGTATATAAACGGCAGCCTGTAATGTAAATCAATTTAGATGTTGTGAAAAACGAGTGTGAGACATTAGTCGTGGATTGACCTCTAACCAACGGGCAACTATCTAATACGATTGAACTGCTAACAAATGTGAAGACATGTGAAAAAAAATGGCATTAGTTGACCGAAATGCTCCCTTAATGTTACAAATCTTTCCTTTTTAACCGGTGAAAGAATCATTTAAAGCATAGTTAACGCCTATCCCTTGTTTAGAACAAGGAAGTCGTGTATTTATCGAATAAATTTCATGAGCAAGCACTGCGCCAGTACTTGTGTCACACAATCGTACTGCAAATAATGAATGACAATGTTTTGTACCTTTCAATATAAAGAAAGCGCCGCTCTTTTAACTGTCATCTTTTAAAGAGAATCAGTCAACTAAAACCTTTAATTTGGTTGTCACTTGTTATTTGTTCCATTTTCACTTCCTTGAAGTTTGGCTCACGGTCATTTGGTAAAAAAAGCGAACTTCAACAATCATAAATCAGTTACTTATTTGCATACACTTTGTCTAGTTCGAGAGGCGGTCTTTGGCTTACATTTTCAGTTAAAATGGTAGTATCAAACTCCAAATGAAGAGTATTTCCAATAAAGTTTCTATTTATTAGAAACATTTCTGTCTTTTATTGTTTTCTTTTGAAATAGTACTGTGTGGAGTAACTTTGAAATCATTTAGTGAAATTATTCAGATCGTTTTGTGGCGGACCAAAAGGTGTTTTAAGTTGGTCAGTTTTTCTCTCTTTTTAGTTTTGATTTTTTTAATTTATTAATTTTTCTTTTCTTTTCTTTGTTTTGTTTTTGAGGAACTTTGTTTCAACTTGCGTGCACTATTCCTGATAGGAGTATCGCGATCGGTGCACGTGGTAAAATTATAAGAAGCGGAAGTCGCACGCTTCATTGAATTCAGCGAATCAGAACGTGTTGTTTTGCCCTGGGAAAAACCCTCTTCGAAGGCCCCGATAGGTGAGTTCGTGAGTTAAATAGGGCAACATGATGGAAGGGAGAATCGAATTATCTCAATAAACACACCGCATGGACGTTAGAAAGCGAAAGACTAGATCTTCTTCTAAGTGTTCGGAGACAGTAGTCTTTCAAGTCTTTCACGGACAAGGTTAAGGTCGTTAGTTGAATTTTGCAGGAAGAAATCTGGGAAGGTGCATTTAAGCGGTAAATATTTTCGGAGGAGATGTCGGAAGAGCGACAAAGGTTGAGACCGTGGCTCGAAGAAAGGATCAATAGCGGAAAAGTACCGGGGCTGTGTTGGAGAGATCAAGAGAAAAAGGAGTTTCGAGTCTCGTGGAAGCACGCAGGCAAACCCGACTTCGATGTGGAGAAAGATGCCATGCTCTTTAAGCTGTGGGCTGAACATACAGGGAAGTACAGACCAGGCGAGTCAGCAGATCCCTCGACTTGGAAGACGCGCTTCAGATGTGCTCTGCACAAGATGCCGGACGTGGAGGAGGTTAGAATTCCGCACAGCTTGGACGAAAAGGAGCCGTATAGAGTCTTCAGATTTAAAGACAAAGGTAGGCGCAATACATTGTTTTTATTTTTATCACCAGGGATGTAAACCGTATGAAGCGTCCGGCCAAGTGTACAGAAGTAGGAAAATGTTACTAAAATATTTTGGAACTGTGACAAAACTTGAGATTCTTTAAAAGACTTCAGCAACTGAAGTTCGTTAACTTGACAAATGTAACCCGATTTCAGCACTATTTTACAATAACTGCGTAAAGCGATGTAGTGCCAGACAAGTGTACTTCACGCGTGAAATATTCATAAAGAGAGCTACGTTATGTTTTTTTTTTCCTTTATCTTTTGACTACGCGAAAAACATAGCTCTTAAAAGCTACAGTAAAGATAAGAACTGCCAAAAAAATTAAACCAACAGAAACTAACATTTACCCCTTAAAAGTTTACGATGTCAGTGTTGTGTCGCTTTTTGCTAAACAAATTCCCGTGACAGAAATTACAATGGCCCCGAAGCGGAAGCCACAACTTATTGAGACACACAAAAAACGTTTGCTTCTAATTATACCCCGTTCCTTTTTGTTACGAAACACAGTCTCGGCACGAGAGAAAAAAAATAAATCTAGAAGACCTTGAAACTAGGGAAGTAAAAGCAAGTATTTATAAGGGAAAGAAAAATTCTGTCAACGCAAAAGCAAAAAAAAATGGCATGAGGTTTTGGGGATTCCCGGATCTCTTTGTAAACTCGAAGACGTAATGTTATCGGAATGATTTCCTGTTTATACGTTTTGCATATTAATTTGCCAACTGGGACATGTTTTTACTGGTTGTAGCAGCGAACCCTTTATTTCATTTGAAAATACATTGAATCTGTCCGTGTTGGCCACTGTTCATGCATAACGTCTATTATATTTGCAGAGACCATTATCTAATATTTTATGTAATATCCTTTACACGTGGTGTCATACAACACTGTCCAAAAATGACTGATTAATTTCTTGGATGCAACGTCAAATAATTAGCATTTTAAGAGCAGTTATTAAAACCTGTCTCATTTCATATTTACCTGTTTCGAACCTAGGTCGTCCCAGCTTACGATGAAACGGACGGCTTAAACAATTAGCAAAATTATGACACTGAATGGCATCTACACAGTTCGAACCAGTTGGATTAAGTTCGCAACGAGTTTCACAAAAATGACCGATTAAATATCTTGACCAGCGTGTTCTCGGGCATTGACATTGCATTAAATATAATATCCGAACTCTGCATATGAAGTGTCTGGATATCGTTTAGATTCACTTGCCATTTATAACCTACAAACATTTCTTTTTTCTTATGATATCAGTTATATTGATTATAAAGGGCGATATCGATAGGCTATAAATAATGGACCTTGTCACGGATTTCGACGCCATCTTGACGAGTAGGCAAACGCTTGAGAAATTACAGCGTTTGTATGAGAATCTAATGTCGAATAATTTCCGTAGAACGGCTGTTCTGAAAAGAATATGAATTGTAGACTAAAGCTCCACTCCTAAGGATTCTACTTAAAAAAAATTGAGGGTGTTACATGCGCTAGAAGACCTAGAACCACTTTTTTAAATTTTCTATACATTTGTGTGTAAGAAATTCCCGGGAAAAGTTACAGACAAATACATGGAAAAGCTAAAGCAAGCCTCTGGAGAAATTTAAGCACAGGTACGCCCCGAAAATGTTTAAGTACAATCCTTTGCTTTGTAGCTTTAGTTTACAATTAATATTTTTTTCAGAAAAGCCGTTTCAAGGAAATTATTCGACATTAGATTCTCATATAAACACTGTAATTTCTCAAATGTTTGCCTACTCGTCAAGATGGCGCTCGAAAACCGTGACAAGGTCAGGGGCACCCAACGACAGTTTTCGGAAAATTATCTGTTCGGAAGACGATTTGAGGTCTAGAATTTTCGGATCATTTTCTGAAAAATTTCTTGCTTGCCTGCCTCTCCTAGGATTTTCGAGCTTCAAAAAAATCGTGTAATTGCCCATTTTTAACGGAT